GAAGGACTGGAAGGAGCAGGGATGGGAAGGAGAAGGACTGGAAGGAGCAGGGATCACAGAAGAATGGCTTTCCCAAGCATTCCCACCCGGAGCACCATCATCCATAGGTTTTATTCTCTGTGGGACTCACGAGTCCCCACGTGGTTCTTGCATTGACTCAGTGGGGAAACAAATGCTCCAGTTATTATATGAGAGCATAATACATACATGGCACCTGTAAATATCATGATGCATGATATTAAAGATAACAACATATATTATATTATATGAAATATATAACAATATCACAATATATTATTATATCAATATATGATACCATTATTAGGACATTTTGGAATGTAACATATCTGCACTGATACAACACTTTGGGTTAAGTTCTCCCTTTGAATATGGAAATTTAAATGCCTTTGCAATCAACTGCTGCCTCATAAGAGCCTGATAAACCTGCCTCCCTGCCTGGATGGTGCTCTCGTGCAGCTCCTGTAATCCATTGGAATCACAGAGCCATCAGGGTTGGAAAAGACCTCCAAGATCATCAAGTCCAACCCTTGGAAAACCCCCCAGGGAGTGGAGCTGCTGGAGACCCCCCCAGCCCCCTGTGCTGAAGGGGGCAGGACAGGGGGGTTTGTGCCCATCCCAGTGCCCATCCCCACGGATGGAGGAATTCCCAGTATCCCAAAGTGCCTCCCTGGGCAGCTGTGCCCGGTGGGGACTCACCCTGGGTGTGGGTGGGCTCCCTGTGGGCTCCCTGTGGGAAGGAGGAGCTCGGGGTTGGTTTCAGCCTCTCACACAAACAAAGGCAGTGAAAGGATTTCCTAAACTTGGCCAAAGTTATGTAAGAACGTCCCTGATCCCAGAAAGTAGCTTATGGAGCGGCTTAGGGAGACTTACTGTCCATCTGGAGGCCTTTCCACTCCTGCTTTTAAGGAGCTATTTGCTCTGGGGCTCGTTCTGCTGCTTCACAGCCAGTCCCACAGCTCTGCCAGCACCACAAAGGCCTGGCACATTTAATTAGGCCTGGCACATTTAATTAGGCCTGGCACATTTAATTGCTCCTGAAAGCCATGGGGAGCTGCCACTGCCTCCCAGCTCCTCCTGCCCCTGTTCCCTGAGGACTCTCCCGGGGGGCTTTGGGCCATCAAACGTGGGTGACTGGCCTTGATCAGAGCCCAAACTGGTTCTTAATGAATTATTGAGCTCTGGGCAAAGTTGGGTCATTTACAGACACTGAGAACTTGAAATCTAAGGTAGAACTGAACTAAAGCAGCTCTTGGTCCCAAAACCTCAGAAGGACGTGGAGCTGTTGGAGAGAGTCCAAAGGAAGC